CGCTGCCCGCGGCCGTCAAGGGGCCCGCCACTGGCCCCCGCTAAAAGAATCTTCCGGCCGCTGTCTCTTCCAGGTGCACATGCCATGAAGAAAGGGGGTCATGAAAACAGCTGATTCGGATGACTCGGCCCCACTGGAAGTGACACAGTCGAGAAAATGTATAGGATCAAGAAAAATTATAGAACACTGACTTTGACACTCTCCGGCCCCTCCCACTCTCCTCCTACAGCTCACAGCCCAGAAGCATGGACAGCCAGCAGTGGGTGAGAGTTCCTAAGTAGCGGACATGGAGCGGAGTAAGGCCAGAACCATGTAGGGAGCTCAGTGGGAGGAGAGCACCATCCCCCAGCCAGTCACCCCTTTCATGGACTTACTAGGAGTCCTCACATCACCCGACCGTTCACACTACCGTTACATGGATGGCAAAAGTGGCAGACGGGCGGGGAGAAGGCGGGGGAAGAGGCAGAGCGAGAGGGGGGCCAAGTTGCTGCACCATGGGCCTCTGGGTTGTACTTGCCCCCTGGGCTAAAAGTTGCCAGTCAGCCCCTGCACAGGGGGACAGGAAGAGAGTCTGAAATGATTCCAGGGTAATCGCAATGTTTGACTATCCAAAACACTTAATAAGCCAGAGGCTTTTAAAGGCTCTATGTATAACTAAAATATCACATCAGGGTGTACTGGATCTTTAACTTCGCTGAGCAGACCATGCAAACTCTGAACATATTACACTGTGGGAAAAATACTGTATATACTGGCAGGATAAAGCTCAAATTGTGGCCACTTCTTGCTGCATCTACCAAAATTGAAGTCTTGAAGTGGCCCTGTCTGCTCTATAGCAAGGATGGGGGAATTAATGGATTTTTCTCATATAGCCCATGGGGATGAACAAGAGAAACTTGTAGTGTGCATGGCCATTATCTGTCTTAGACTGGGGTCTAGTTATAAACGTTTTCACACATTTTTTCAAAGTGAACCTTGCATGAAACCCATGTGAATTATGTGTGAAAACATTTGTAAATAGACCCTTAAGGGTCTTCACGGGCATTGACTGGTGGGAATGGTCTATGTTCTCTGTAAAGCACAGAGGAAATTGCTGGTGCTGTATAAATAAATAGATATACTGGAAGTGGACCCTTGTGTTTGGTCTCAGCTGCTACATAGATCCATTATCCAAAGGCCAGCTGTGTCCATGATCTAGCAAATGCCTGTAACCTTCACAGTCACAACACAGAAGAGGGAACAAACCCTGAGGCTGCATCTGCATTTCTGTAATGTGATGTGTCTCTTGGGAGTAGATCTGAACAGCTGATTACATATAAGTTACTATCTAGTAGGAAAATATACTGTCTGAAGTTGTTTATACCACAATTTGAAGGCAACACTTCTATAAAAGTAACCTTCAGGATGGCACACATTTATAACAATTAGGTGCATTTTGTTGGCATTTTTGCCAATATAAAAGATGCAAAGCATGCTCATGTCCCTCGTTAACCAACTGCCGCTTCTGTATAGATGTGAGTTTTAAAGCTATCTTTCACATTTTGACCCGTCTACTAATTTGTTAGTACAGGGAGTTAAAAAACAATACTTTGATCGGTATCCATTCTTAAATGTGTTAACAACTGAGTAGGCTTATAATCAGAAAATGAAATGTTATTACAATGTAATGCTGGCCATATACTGGTCAGCAAGACTTAGCCGAAGTGTAGCCAGTGTGTGTCCCCGTTGGTACCCCCATCTCATTCAGGTATTCTGGCAGTGGCACACCCTCCGTTGACAGAATACAAAAGATTTCCAAATCCACGCTAACAGCCTGTAGGGCTGAACCATAAACAAACTAACAAACTAAGTAATCATACCTCAAATTTTAGAGGATTTTAGGAATAACACATTCGATATAGTTTTTTATAACTTTTAATACAAAAAGTAATAGGAGTACTTCAAAGTAGCGTTCTATGTTAATCCAAAAAGTTGACAATTTAATTTAATTGAATGTATAGTTAGTCTATATATA